AGCTTAGTTAAGCCTTTCTGCTGGATAGCTGAAGTTACCTTTTGTTCAAGAAGATACTTCAAACTATGGTGATCTGTTCTAACTATGAAGTGTTTGAACTGCAAGTAGTGCCTCCATTTATCCACAGCACTCAATAAGGCCATATACTCTTTTTCATAAATGGACTTTCCTCTGTGTTTCTGAGCTAGCACCTTGCTGAAATAAGCAACTGGTTTACCCCCTGCATGAGCACAGCTCCAATTCCTCCATGACTTGCATCAGTTTCAACCACAAACTCCGTAGTATAGTCAGGCAATGCCAGCACTGGTGTTGAGGACATGGCAGATTTGAGAGCTGAGAAAGCTAACTCAGCTTCTTGACTCCACTTAAATGCATCATTCTTTAACAGATCAGTGAGGGGTCGACATATGGTTCCATAGTTAGCCACATATTTCCTGTAGTAGCCAGTCAGTCCTAAGAATCCTCTGAGGGCCCTAAGGGAGTTGGGTCTAGGCCAGTCTACCATTGCTTGAATCTTAGTAGGATCAGTGGAAACTCCCTCTTTTGTAATGACATGACCTAAGTATTCCACTTGTGTTTGTCCAAAGGAACACTTAGACTTCTTAGCGAACAAGGTATGTTTCCTCAAAAGGTCAAACACAGCCATCAGATGCCTAACATGCTCCTCCAAATTCAAACTATAAATGAGTATATCATCAAAGAATACTAGGACAAACCTCCTCAGATAAGGTTGAAAAACTTGGTTCATTAGGGCCTGAAATGTAGCTGGGGCATTTGTGAGCCCAAATGGCATCACTTTAAATTCATAATGTCCCATGTGAGTCCTGAATGCAGTTTTGTGTACATCTTCCACCTTCATTCTGATTTGGTGGTATCCAGCTCTGAGATCTACCTTAGAAAAAATGGCAGATCCATGAAGTTCATCCAGTAAATCATCCACAATAGGAATGGGGTATTTGTCCTTAACTGTAATATCATTCAATCCCCTATAGTCCACACAAAACCTCCAAGTGCCATCCTTCTTCTTGACTAGCAAGGCAGGTGAAGAAAAGGGAGATTGGCTTTGCTGAATGATGCCACTGCTCAGCATCTCTTTTACCTGTTTTTCTAACTCATCCTTCTGGTGGTAATTCTATCTATAGGGCCTCAAACTGACAAGTAAACTACCAGGTTTAAGGGGTATAGCATGGTCCAAGGCTCTGATAGGAGGTAGGGATTTTGGCTCTGCAAACACATCAGTATATTGGTTCAGCACTTCTTATATAGCCTCATCAGTCTGCTCTTGCTCTTTCTGTGCCTCAACACTCAGCATAAACAAGTGAGCTATGAGAGCTTGCCCTTTCTTCAACACTTTACCCATTGTTTTGCTACTCATCATACTCTGGAAGGCCTTGAAGCACCAGTTTGTTGCTCTTCCTCCCAATTGTAACACACTTCTTTTCATGATCAAACTTAGTAGGATTGTGTTTCTTTATCCAGTTATTACCTAACACCAGGTCACATCCTCCTAATAGAATGATGAGAAGATCTTCTTGGAATGACCTGCCATGCATCTTCCCTGTGAATCCCTTGCAGTGGGTAGTGCACATGGCATAATTTCCATTTGCTACTGTCACTCTCACTGGTGGACAAAAACTAGTTTGATAGCCAGTCTCTTTAACCGTGTGCTCATCTATGAAACTGTGTGTGCTTCCTGAATCTATCATCACTGTGACTTGCCTTTTCTTCACAGTTCCCCCTACCAGAATGGTATTTTCTCCTTGGTTATTTCCTGAAAGTGCATTCATACAGATGGCTTCCTGAATTTCCTGCTCCACTCCACCTGCAATAATCAATTCAGAAGGTACTGGTACTTCTGTAATCTCAGGTTCCTCCAGTTGAGGCTCAGCTTCCACCTCACCCTTGAGGCAGTTCAATTGTTTCACCTTGCACTGGTGGCCAGGGTTATAGTTTTCTCCACATCTATAGCTTAAGTGATTGTTCTTCCTGTGTTCATACACCTCAGGGCTCAGTCTAAATGCAGTGGTCTTGTTCACGGGCAGGTTTCTGGTGTTAGCTGTGAGGTTTACCCTTGGAAGGCTTTTAGTATTAGCCTTCTCCTTCTTCTGTGCAGCCTCAATAGCCTTTTCCTGTAACCTAGCCTGCTCAATGGCAAACCTCAATGTCGTAGGCTTGAACAACTTGACTCCAAACTTGATTTCCTTCTTAAGAGCCCCTATAAAACTGGATAAGAAGTGAGATTCATCCAGCTATGGGTTACGAACCAGCATTTGAGCTTTGAGATCCTCAAATTTCCCTAGGAATTCATCCACAGTCCCTTCCTGTGATAGCTTATTGAACTCTTCGACCACATCTTCAGCTAATACTACCCCAAACCTACTAATCAGTTCCTCCTTAAATTCAGTCCAAGTTAATACCCCTTGGCTTAGCAACAAGGAGTGATACCACATCTCAGCTAGTCCATTCAAATAAAGAGCAGCAGCTTCTACTTTTTGATCTTCCTGAGTTTTATACAACTTAAAATACCTTTCACATTTACGCAACCATACCTTGGGTTCATGTCCTTCAAATGTGGGCAGTTCCCATTTAGGAGGAGGTATGGCCATATTTTGAGGCCTGTTCTGTTTGTTGTCCACAACTGGAAGAGGTAGTAATCCTCCTCCATTGTTTGGGCCAGTTGGAGCTCTTTCTAATGTTGTCAGCCTCTCGAGAATCAGCTCCAAGGTGCCTTGAATTCCAGTCTGGGTATTACGAACCTCCTCTTGGCTGTTCAACACATCTGCCAATAGTTCGTCATGTTTAGCCAGTTTGTCGTCCATCAGCTTCAAGCGAGTTCCTTCAGCCATTACTCACACACAAGTCGCAGAATCGCGACTCTGATACTGATAAGGATCTAAACTCAATTGCAAAATAGAAAACGAATTCAACTCTTTTTGGGACAATTTTCTGATTTTATTAACTGAAAGCTGAAAACAATTACAAGGAAGTAACTGATTAACTAGAAAAAGTGAAAATAAAGGGTCGCATAATGAAATTACCGGAAATTCGTTGCTTCTCTCTCTTCTTGCTGTTGGGTATTTGTAACAAACTAACAACCTGCTGACGTGGCGCGATCGTGACCCTTCCTCCTTATTAATGAACTTCTAATCTTGGCCCTTCGTTTCCAATTGACTGAGCATTACCAAAGGGTGTAACCCAACTTCGAATCCCTTTCACTACATCTTATTTGTAATTAACCTTGGACCTCTTAATTCATGACATCATCATTATTTCATCGACAAGTTATTTATTCCTATTATATAATTACACCGCTGCAGAAACTAAAAGTAAAACATGCTTTCTTTTAAATTATATTATTAAATTTTTTTATGCTACTCCTAATTTTGTTGGAGTCGAATTAAGATAACTCAAATAAGGCAAAATATTATGCAACAGGTGAGATCGAATAATATGGGTGGTAGTGCTTGATTCCTGAAAACAGAGTTTTATCACACAATTCAAACTTGTATAGAACAAAAAGAATCAGGACTGCTCGTGAGGGGTGTTATATTTGATCTAAATGTGAAATGCATACAAATAAAAGGGCCGAAGGGATGGAAAAGAAGTTTTTTCAAAGCTAATATATATATTTTTTTAATATATATATAATTTTTTTACAATTATGCAATTAATAGAGGAGACAAGTGGTATCTGAATGAAAGGGGCTGTAGGAGTGATTCTACTTAAAGGAAAGGTAGAAGGAAAAAAAGAGAGACTCATTTGGTAGGCCTAAGAAGTCTTGGGAGGTTATTAGGAGGACATGTTGGAGCTGACTTAGGACATGGTTGTAGACATGAGTGTGTGGAGATTAAAGATTAGGGTAGAAGGTTCTTATGTAGTTGAGCGTTTTTCTTTGCCTCACTCAATTCACTAGAATTAGTGTTAGTATGATATCTTTTATTCATAGATGGCTATTACTATCTGCATTCTTGGATACGATCTTATTTCATGTTGCTGTTATTTCTACTTGTTGCAGTTACATTTTCTTTTTTAGTCGTTTTCTAGCCCAGAGTCTATCGAAAACAGCCACTCTGCCCTTCCAGGGGTAGAAGTAAGGCTGCATAGATCTTACCTTCCCCAAACCCCACTCGTGATAAACTAGTGGGTTAGTTGTTGTTGTTGGAAAGTTTTATTTGGTAGTGTAAGATTAGCCGGTATTCTGCTTATGGTATAAAGAAGCTTAGAATCAAGACATATAGAATGTCTCCTGATTTGTTAATACCAATTTTAAGAGGTTTACTATTTGAATGTTTTTATACACCTTTCCCTTTTCCTTGTAAAATTTGATAGAAACGTTAGTTTCACTTGTAATAAGTTATTTTGCAGCAAAGCAATTCTTTCTCTTTGGGCTCAAAGAAGAGCTGAAGTTTTCTCCTCATTGCTCTGCCAAATATTACAGTCCCATTCTTCTGCAAATTGTTTGGGAGGTAAATTGAGCATATTATATTCCTCTACATTAACATATGCTTTTGTACAGTTTGGGGTGAAAAAGTTTGCTTTACTTTGACAAGTGAGTTTTTGCAAAACTTTTATATTTATATTAAGCTACTGAAATACTTACTAGAAAAGAAGGCATTTGGTTAATGTTCAGTCTAAAAGTGGCAGGTTCTTGTGTATTTTGAGTTGCTTAAATAAGGCGATATTGTCAGAAACTTGATACATAGATAGTCTTGGTAATATTTCTAATACCTCCCCAATTTACAACTTGTGAGAATTGCACTTTGAACATAATTGAATGAAAACGACTTTAAGGTTTTTGGGATGAAGGACAAGTCTAATGGTAGCTACAGAAAGTAAATAGACGACGAAAGATTCCAAGACTATTCCCCTTTTTAAGACTTGTATTGATTGAAAATGCCAGATATCCATAAACTCACGGTGATACCAAAAATATAAATAAGATATCATAATTTTTATAATATAAAAGAGCTCACTGTGTACTCTTATTCAGAAACCTCAGATGAAGAAAGGTAACATAAGTCCATGTACTTTGATGGTAAGAGATATCATGATTTTGATTTCTGAGGCATGGTTTCATGTTTTAATTGCAAATCGTGTCGCTGATTTAAACCCTCACTTTCACCTTCTGATTCCTCATTGCTTGAATATGCACCAAAACTTACATCTTTGGCCTTTATGCTGCTTTGTTGCCTTAAACTGAAAGGAGTACTGTCATTGAATGATCCTTCTTTTGAGAGTCTTTTGTGGCATCTCTTAAAACCTTGCTTTTGCGTCTTGAACTTGAGCTGATTGTTCGAGAGGAGGATTTTAACTTGCTTTTGCGTCTTGATTTGGAACCCCATTTTCCAGATTTTGTTGTCATCCCTTCATGTTTAAACGTGCTGTCATCTTTCTCATTCTCTGAAGATCCTGATGTACTTCCATATCCATAATCAGAACTTGCTCTATCATCCTCGTCACTCTCAGCAGCAACTTTTTGATGATCTTTATTATAATGAACTTTTTCATCATTTTGTTCACTGCTTCGATCCTCATTATCTGATCTCTTTGGCTCGTAATCATCTGAAATCTCTGTATCTGAACTGGCTTTCTCAGGAGACAAAGATTCAGGAATTGGTTCATCTGGTGGAGCCACTTCAAGGGAAGTAATAGCAGCTACAACATCACCGATCAAGGGACGGACTGATGGCTCTTCTTGTAAACACATGGCTGCAACCCCAACTGCTTGATTTAAACTTCTCTCAGGAAAATTGTTTTTCAGAAGTGGATCTGCCATTTCTCTGAACCTTTTTGGATTCCTGAAAATGGGTTGTGCCTATTCAATCACACATTTCATAATCAGTTACCACTTTATTTTTAGTTACAATAACACAGAACTAGCAAGAACATAACAATAATGCTCACCCAAGCAACTAAATTTTGCTCCTCTGCAGGCCTTGTAGTATCCACTGCACGGCGCCCTGTAATAAGTTCAAGTAAAACAACTCCAAAACTATATACATCCGACTTGAAAGAGAGTTCACCGGATCTTTCATACTCTGGAGCACAGTAACCGTAGGTTCCCATTACCCTTGGTGATATGTGTGATGTATTCCCTCCACCTGCAAGCTTGGCAAGGCCGTAGTCTGAAAGTCTAGGATTAAAATCTTGATCTAATAGAATATTGGTGGTTCTGAGATCGCGATAAATGATTGGGGGGTTGGCCTTATCATGTAGATATTCAAGCCCTTGAGCTGCGCCTGAGGCTATCTTCATTCTGTTTTGCCAATCTAGTGGCTTTTGATCCTCCTTAATATCTGCAGTGTAACATAATTCAATCAGTACAGAAGCAAGGAGAAAGCATGAAACAAGGTAAAGTGAGGGGGTTTAGCTATGTGCATTGAAGTGTTTACCAATTAGATGATCAGCAAGACAACCCATTGGCATATATTCATAGACTAAAATCCTCTGATCTCCATCAGCACAATATCCAATGAGATTGACCAGATTTGGGTGGTTAAGGAGAGTTAGCATTAAAACTTCAACTTGAAACTCCTTGTTTCCTTGTGTTCCAGTCCTGTCTAGTTGCTTTACTGCCACAACCTATTTAGATATGAAAAGTGAAGTCTCGTTATGTGGAGATGCATAAAAGTAGAAACAGATGAGGAACAAACACTAGGGCCATTTTACCTCTCCGCCTTGAAGCGTTCCCTTGAACACTCTTCCAAATCCACCTTCTCCTATTAGGCATTCTTGTCGGAAGTTCTTTGTTGCACTGGCTAGCTCACGGAATGTGAAAGTCTTAGCGTTGCTATCCCCATTCTCAACGGGGCTAGCTTGCTCAACTTTGTTAGCATTTTCACATGGTGGTTTGTTGTTGTTATTTTCTGTGAAATGCAGGGAAAAGGTAAACACAAGCCTGCAGATATGTTACGAAAATTAAACATGACATGCAGGTACGTATTCCAGCACCATCACGCCCCGTAAGAAAAGGAACAAAAGCAATCACAACTAGCCAACTAGGGGGAGCCAAAGCAGCTGCCTTAGATGTTTATGGAGGCGGATTCAGGTAAGTAGTGTGTGCGGCCTACTTATTACCATTCATATGCTTATGTGACAGTGGGTGCAAACTTAGTGCAAGTATAAATATACATTTTCTGGAAATTTTCTAATATATACATAGAGGCCGTGTTGAAGGCAGAGCTTCCACTTACTTGGTGTTTCTGAAAACTAAGGAAAACAAACAAACATGGTGACTGATTCATGCATTGGTGGCATTTTTCTTCTCTTGAATTCTAAGTCAGCTTATTCTTTTTATTGAATAAGGTATTAGTTCTGAACACCATTAGCATTCACTGTACGTTTCCATGCTGAGATTGTCTTAAAATACATAACTTAATTAGACTTCCTACTTGAGTGTCAAGTTGTTTGCATATTCATAAGTGCCTTTCATTCTTGTACCTGCTAACAAGATTCTTGACCTCTACATACATTCTTCTCGTAGAAATTAATTCAGACAAAAGAGAAACACCAATGTATATGCTAATAGGAGCTGGCAAAGAAAATATAAATTGGTCCATTTTTAAATTTCAAGAGAAGAACATACCAAAATGTGGTGGAGGGGATGGATCATTTAGCGGGCGAGCAACCGGGGGGTCCTCCGGTGGCTCGTTGGTTTTCTTAGACTGAAAACAAGGGAGGCAACTCATATCATTGATTCCTTATATAGAGCAGGGGAGGTCATATCTTCTTCACAAGATTAAAGAAAAAAAATTCACCTCTAGAATAAATTTAGCAAAATGTTAAAAGAAAATATATCAAAACAAATATATATATTGATTCTTGTGTTTCACGAATGGATTTTGCATTTGAAGTTTAACATATGAAGGCTTGAAAAATTAATGTTGTGCATGAAGATAGTAAGATTTCATGCATGAAATGGTCACATTGAGAAAAATATTAACGTAAAAATGGGAGAAGGAAGGAGGGTTTTCCAGGTTTGAAAGATATTGAAGGAAAACAAATTATTAGGAATGGAGGAGAGGGGCAAATCATTGGCTCAAGAATTTTCCTTAAGATTTCTCATCAGAGAAAAAAAGGGAGATTTGAATGGTTGTATATCTTGTAATCTAACACCTCTTTTCCTCCTCTCACCTTTCTTTCTATGGGACTTCTAAGACAAATACTTATAATGCACCATAACTTATTTGCATTTTATCTTTGTCCTGTTTCGTTTTTTTAAAGTTTTTATCTTTAATTCTGTGTGATTTAACTTATATATATATTGACAATGCGTATAATCCTATATTATCAATATATTTTAACATGTTGTAGTTGGTAATCCGTCTTATTTATCAAGTTGTTCATTTCATTTCATTTTGTAATTTTTTTGTGGCGTCCTCCTCGATCACCTTCTCCAAAAAGGTAAAAGAAAAGAAAAAAGAAGAAAGCTTTTTATCCCTTACTTACTATAATAATGACAAGAGAGAGTTGCTCAAGTAGTAAGCACTCTCCACCTCCAACTTTTTGATTGTGGGAAAAGTTATTTTTTATACAAGCATTCTAGCTATAGGAGTATACGCACGAGGTAAATATTTTTTTATACTAGCATTCTAGCTATATTAGTATACACATTGTATAACTAACTCTTAGATTTAGTCCATCAAAACTCATGTTGTCAAGTGCTTCCTTAAATTTTCTACGTGCTTTATACCTTGATATTACCATTTGTAAAAGACTTACATAAAAAACGGTGCTTCATTTTAATTTTGAAGTCCATGACATGAAGGCAACCAACTATTTGAAAAGCACCACAACATCTTTATTAATTACTACCTATTTTAGTGCTGAGACGTTACTAGCACTACGCCGCTATATATATAATACTAGAGATGAAGAACGCATGAAGATGTTCACAAATTTCCTTCGTTTGTTTTATTAATGAAAAAAGAGAGAGTTGGTTTAGATACTTCAGATCCTCTGTTTCAATTGCTGAAAGGTCGGCTGAACTTTCATGTTAATTATTTTAAGCTTTTATAGAGAAAAAGTATTTTCTCGTTAATACTTCAGTTTTTGTTTCTTTTTTTAACCACGTGTAGGAAATATACTTATAGTGCAGTCTATTTGTCACGACCCATTTTCTGAATAAGCCGTGACCGGCACCCAGTTGTTAAATTTGACCGAGCGAACCATCTGTGCTTATCAACACTATTATAACCTCAAACTTTGTATGCAACAAAGGAAATACTTTAACCAAATACTTTTAATTAATTTAAATATCTAAAATAAACCAACTCCAAAAATTTATTCGTAGTAACTACTGAAATATTGCAAAATTATTATTAAAAACACCTGAATCTTAACCCACCGACTGTGTCTATGAAATCTCTACTGATAACTGACGCACTGCTCAGGACATTAGATTTTCTGGCCAGTTCTCTAAGTAAACAAAGAAATAGCTAAATAATGACGACTTAAAGGAGTACTCCATGAACAAAAGCGGAGCTCACCAATAGCACTGGACGTGAGGGAAGTCCTAACCGTAGCCTGCTCGCCTGCAAAACCGGTTCCTACATTCTACCGCAGACCAATGTAGGTCCCAAAAGAGAACGTCAGTACCATCCATTATACTCAGTGAGTCTCAACGACAGGGGACGAAACTTTAATAAAATATACATTACGAGCAAAGATTCTAAATGCATGGAAAACATAGAGCTTCTAAGAACAATACTAAAATAAATGTATAATATCAGTTTATGAATATTCTAAAAGATATTCTTTTCTTTTTCTTTCTTATAAAAAAAATACTTCACTTTATACTTCGGGAGTTCTAACTATCCTGACTTATTTTTGGCTTAGTCACCGTGTGATCGGCACGCGTTCGATCCCAACCCGATCGAATAGGCAATCCACGAGGTGCCACTCGCTTCATGGTTCTCAGTGCTCATGTATCATACCTTAGCCTAGCTAAGTAAATTCTCAGCAACGAGACCCTCGGCTCGTGTGCTCCCTACTTGGGTGCAAGTAGTTTCAGGAAGTCAACACCTTGGTCAGGACCCTCGGCCTGGACGATGACCCCTTCTCAGAATAGAGGATACTCCCAAAAATCTTTTCTTTCTAAAACTTCTTTCTGTGACTTTTCAAGTCTAAATCTTTTCTGGAACATCCTGTACATACTCATATCGCTACAGAAAATTTGACTTTTAACGACCATTTTTTAACGAAGGGATGTGAATCCCATCGTTATAAATACATTTATACCGACCAAATTATTTCCCCGTCGGTATAATCAATTTTCTGCTCATCAATAGCGAGGGGATAATACCCGGTCTTAAGCAAGTATGATTTTCAGACGCTAAAACTCGAATAAGAAAAAAAAAATTAAAAACGAAGCGTCGATTCTTTCCCTCAAATTTTCCCAAACCATCCCTCCAAATAAAACATAAAAAAAGCCCTAGACACAAGCAAAACTGACGAGGCAAATCTCCCTCTGCCTACTTTCCGCCTGTTCTCTAGAGTTCAAGAACAGATTCTTGCCTATCCCTTATTTGTCCATTAAGTCCGTTTTCCGCTAAACTCAGTACTCTTTCATCACCATCGCCCAATGTGCCATCTCTAATATTCGCCTTTTTTATGAAGTTTGGGTCTTTTGTTTGATTTGCAAAGCTGACATGAGGTTCGATTAAACATTTGTGATCTCTCTCCTAATTTACTTTTCAAATTTCATTATTTTTTTAGTATAGCAGTTTAGTTTCTTTGATCTCCATTAAGCATTGTTATTACTAGTGAGTTGGAATTTACAAACTGATGTTAAGTGTGTTAAAATTGAGATTGATGAGTCCTTATTTTTCTACCTTTATCTATATCTTTTCTGTGGAAGATTGGGGCTCTTTTTTAATTTGTGAAAGAGCACACATTACTTGTTTGATGAAATGCATGTGTGTGAGAATCTGACAAACATCGAATTATTAGGAACTGAGTGTTAATGATTGTGCTGGGTGGTTGTGAGGGAATTGCATGTGAATATAAAGATCATGGGTTTTGCCTTTAGTTTCTAGAATCATAAAGGAACCATGTGAACTAAGTATTTATAAGAATTGATGTAAGAAAAGAATTCTAATTATCTAATGATACTTAAGGAGAGTATGAAATTCTTTTTTTTTAAAGAGTGACTATATATGTAATATGTTAAAGTAGAGGAGGGCAAGAAAATAAAATTAGTGTATCACCGTGTGAATCTCCAGAAAAATAAGGATGAAAGATAAGAAAGTATAAAAAATTGGTGTGCTGCTGGAGGGGGAGAAAGACAAGGAAGGAGGAATGTGTTTTCTTCTATGTTGCTCGGACTCTCCGAAAATATCGATGAGTGTGTGTCGGATCCTCCAAAAATAGTGTATTTTTGGAGGATCCGACACGGGTGTGCCAGCTGTTTTGGAGAGTCCGTGCAATATAGATTTTCTTATAGAGTGAAGAGAAGAGATTGATTTCATCATTCTTCATAAATTCTAGTAAGCTTAATTTTTTATTATGATGTATACAGAATTTTTAGCAGTCTATTACATGTACATAATCACTATATGATGTACATAATCATTATAAGGGTAAGATGTTAATTGAGAAAAAAAAAATCAGTCTTACTTAAGTCAACAGAGCTTGCGCAAGGACCAAATTTAGAGCGAAGTGTAAAAATCTATTATATAAATCATAGTATATATATTTCGCATTAGCTAGTGACTGAGCTATACATAGTGACTATTTAGTTACATGGTACTGTAGTGACTTCATCACGAGTTTAGTTTTGATAGTCATTCACTCTTTTCTTTTTCTGTTCAGCAGTTGGTATTTTCTCCATTCATTTAGATTCCCAACTTCCCTACATTATATTGGAGTTGTCGTAGTCTAAACCCTTGATAAATTCTTTCAGGCTTCGGAGGGTGGATGTTTGACAATAATCCTCAAAATTCTTTTTTATCAATTTATAATCAAAGTGTTCAACAGTGATAATTTCCCAGGTATTTTGTAATCAGGGTGCCAATTAAAAGCAAGTTAATATCATCTGCAATTAAAAACTATCTGAGGATGGCTTTACATGTAATTAAATGTGCTTATATTTTGTATTAACTGGTAGCTTTGATCTAGATCAATGTGTTCTGAATACTTTCTTGGTAATTGCAGGGTTTGAGTAAGTTTAGTCGGATATGAGTATTTCATATATTTGCTACTTGTATTTTGATATTAGAAGTTTTACCGTTGAACTTCATCTCCAAAGAATTTCTTGTTTTGCCAGTAATGTCTCTTTGTTGTTGATCTTTTAGAACACGTGCACATTTGATGCACATGCTGGCTAATAGTTTTCTGTTTTAAATGTTATATAGTTTGAGGAAAACCATATTAGGAATGAGAGGTGTTGTTTATTACCAAACGAACGTGGACATTTAAAGATATTTTAATTTTTACCGGAAGACAGACTTGTATACATCAATACATTCTAAGAATGTAATGACCCGACCGGTCGTTTTGAGCTCTAGCACGCCGTTCAGCAGTTTGAGGTCATGAGCAGCTCCATTTCAGGTATTACGACTTGTGCGCGTGGTCGGAATTGAATTTCGGGAAGTTCGGGGTTGATTCGGAAGGAGAATTCTCATTTCGGAAGCTTTAAGTTGAAAGAATCAACTAGGATTGGATTTTTGAGTAAACGACCTTGGAATCGGGATCTGAAGGTTCCAGTAGGTTCGTATGATGATTTCGAACTTGGGCGTATGCCCGGATTGGGTTTTGGATGATCCGGGAGCATTTTGGCGCCTATGGTGGAAGTTAGCATTTTGGAAAAAATTTTATAAGTTTGGGTTGAAGTGCATTTCAGTATTTTCGATATCCGTTTGGGATTCCGAGCCTGGGAGTAGCTCCGTATGGTGATTCTGGAGTTGGGGGCGCGATCGGAAGTGAATTCGGATGTCCGTGGGTCATTTTGGAGTCATTTGGCTAAAGATAGAAATTTGAAGGTTTTTGAGAAGTTTGATCGGAAGTGGACTTTTTGACATCGGGGTCGGAATCCGATTCTGAAAGTTGGATTAGGACCGTGATATCAAATATGACTTGTGTGCAAAATTTGGAGTCAATCGGACGTGATTTGATAGGTTTAAACATCGAAAGTAGAAGTTTGAAATTCTAAAGTTCATAAAGCTTGGATTAGAGGACGATTCGTGGTTTTAGCATTGTTTGATATGATTTGAGGCCTCGAGCAAGTCCGTAATGTATTTTGGGACTGGTTGGTATGATTGGTTGGGGTCCCGGGGGGCCTTGGGTGGATTCCGGGTGGTTAACGGATCGAAAATGGAATTTTTGAAAGGCTGAAGTTGCTGGTTGCTAGTATAACCGCACCTGCGAGACTTGGGCCGCAGGTGCGGAGCCGCAGAAGCGGCCAGAGGAGCCACAGATGCGGTTTTGTACCAGACGTGAAGGGACCGCATATGCGGTCATGCAGCCGCAGAAGCGGGACAGCACCTGCGGCGGTCGAGTCGCAGAAGCGGAAAGGAGGGGCTGGTGAGAAACCGCAGGAGCGGTAGAAGGGCTACACTTGCGGAACCGCAGAAGCGGTCAAGGGGCCGCAGGTGCGGTAGTGCTGGAGGCAGTAAGTTCTTTTAAAATCGGGGGTTGGTCATTTTACCCCCATTTTTCATTGGGTGTGGACGATTTTGGAGAGGTTCAAGTGGGGTTTTTCATCATCAACGACAAGGTAAGCTAATCCCACCTATCTTGAGTTAAATATATCGTTTATGTATGGATTTTAGCATGTAAATTGGTAGAAACTTGGGGTTTGAGGGAAAACCTAGAAAATTGTATTCTTGAATTTTGACCACGATTTTGGATATGAAATTGAGAGTAAATTATATATTTGAGTTCGTGAGGTTATGGGTAAACTTTATCTTCGAAAAATTTCGGAATCTGGGCACGTGGGTCCGAGGGCGTTTTTGTCAACTTTTCAATCGGGGTTAGGAATTGTTATAAATTGGGTTGTAATGAGTAATTGAGCATATATTAATAGATTTACATAATTATTCGCTAGATTTGGAGCATTTAGCATCGATTCGAGTCTTCGGGAGGGCGTGAAATGCCAGTTATGGATCTTCGGAGCGAGGTGAGTCTCCTTTCTAACCTTGTAAGAGGGAATTGTCCCCATAGGTGAGTTAATTGGTTATGTGCTCCTATTTGTGGGGGCTACGTACGCACGAGGTGACGAGAGTCCGTGCGTAGCTACTATTATGCTTATGTCCGGGTAGTTTAGGACCCAAAAGCATGCTTACTTGTAATAAATGCAACCTTGTTGACAAATTTAAGAATGCTTATAACATATCGAATGTGTAAATGAATTTCTAAAAGATTAGATATCATTACTTGACTTTTAAAAGAGAAACTTGCCTTCTTCCTGAATATTTGCTCCTTGATGAATTATTGATTTGATTGTTTAAATGTGTTTATCTATTGTGGAACGGGCCGAATGCCTCGGTAGATTAAATAGATGCATTTATGTTTCGCTCCATTCGACCCTCTGGCAGTGCACAGTTTAAATATTGTTGGATCGGGCCGTACGACCTCGGCATGATTTGCGCATACTTGTATTGCTTGCCTTGAGATTTATTGACATTGCCATCTTCTCTCCCGACTTGAGGTAATTGTTAACTAATGGATTATGAATTCGGAGACCTTAAATAAAAATGAACTTTGACCTGTTTAGTGGCTCATTTGAATCTACTGTTGTTCTTAATAAATCTGTGAGTCTTCGCATTAACAATATTATTACTGGACCTTTAGTAAGTGTCGAAGTTGCCATCTCGTCTCTACTTCTTCGAGATTAGGCGGGATACTTACTGAGTACACGTTATTTTCGTACTCATACTACACTTGCTGTGCATTTTTGTTGCACAGGTTTATGTGTGACTAGTAGTTTAGTGGCATAGCGACATGGTTGATACGGAGACTTAGGTGAGCTGCACTTATCGAGACGACCCGTAGCCAGCAGAGTCTCCTTCACAGTATTGTACTGTAGTTTCATTTTTGTCCACTTTGTATACCGGACAATTACTGTATTTTATTTCATTCCCTAGTAAATGCTCATGCACTTGTGACACTGGGTTCTGGGATGTCTATGGGTTTATTCAGAAATTTAAAATTGTTAAATATTTTATTATTTATTCAGTGGAATTTATTATGTATTGTTTAAACGTATAAAAGAAGTGATTTCAGAAATATTTAAAACAAGAAGTTACTAATTAATTATTGTTGGCTTGCCTGACAATGGCGTCCGGCGCCATCACGACCCTTAGTGGATTTTGGGTCGTGACAACATGGTATCAGAGCACTAGGTTCCTGTAGGTCTCACGAGTCATAAGCAAGTCTAGTAGAGTCTCGCGGATCGGTACGGAGACGTCTGTACTTATCTTCGGGAGGTTGCAGGACTGTTAGGAGTACTTCCCTTCTTGATTTCTCATCGTGCGATTTGATCCCTGGAGGCTTATGCCTTTAATTCCTTCCTATTCAATCTTATGCAACGGAAACCGTTTGTTGTAAATCGAGAATTGAAGAATCGTAATGGTACTACCGATGTAGTGCGGGGTGTTTCTCCCTGCAAACTTGTCTGAGCTATTATCGTCGCCTTGTGAAAGGATATTCTGTCGTTTCAGCTCAGTAGCGGTACTTCTGAGAGCTCTGAGGCTAGGCACAAGTTGCCATGATGCTATGAACGATTGTTCCGCAGTAATGATATGATGGTAGGACGTTTCCTTACGTGTCGGGGCAGTGAATGACTTGAAGGGAGGTTTACTCAGTGCACGATTCAGAGATATGATATTTCACTTCCGGCGGAGGAAAAACATTTGGCCTATGAATGTCCAGATTTGGGGTGATGGAGTAACGAGACTTGGTAATTTCGAGCGTGGTGGAATTTTTATCTGCGATGTAGTGTCGTCGTCCTCGATTGTATGTGTTAAGTTCGCCGGTGTTATGGTCTTCTGCAATTCGCCCTTGGGGTAGGATATTGTGAAATAATATTGGAGAAACGACCGTTAGATATTGCGGGGTGCGGTGGTTCAGGACTGAATCGGTGTTTCTAATGTCGATGGCTCGAGAAAGATGATCATCGGAAAGGTTTAAAGTTAGTAGCGATTTGTAGGTTCAAGTGCTACTAAGATAGATTTTATTAAGGCGACAACTGAGCAGCAAAGGATGAGGAAAGACATGTGGGGAGTGTCAGGCAGTGGTTAAAATTTCTAGAAGGCCAGGTATAAGAAGCAAAGGTCGAGTGGTCGATTAGAGAGGTGAGTTCCGCCAAAGTGGGAGAGCGGCGGAGTTGCATATGGGCTTTGTGTTAGGATGACTACGCACCTTAAGGAGAGTTGGGAACGACTTGGGAATTTTAGTGATTGATGATTGGGGTCTACGGATCTAATTTGAAGTATGGGCTATTATGCGGCAGGAGATTTGATATAACGGAAATGAGCTACTTGAAATGAAGAAGGATACAACGTAACTTTGAATTGGAAGGATGTTGCTGCACATTTAGTTGATGTCCACGAGGGGTGAATGGACTTGTGCAGCTAGAGAGTGAGCTCGGACTCAGGATGGGTTATTGATGTCGTAGTGATTGTACCCCGTGCAGCAGCGTTGGAAGATGTCGGCACGTAAATTCCACAGGCGGGTTATCTCCAGTGAGCAGATCGGCGGTCGCATGGTTGGCGAAGCTTCTGCGAAGAATTCTATTGGTTATACAGCAAAGAGATCGGTCGTGCGAATGTGGTTGATGATTCAGAGTATAAAAAGGATTTTTACAGAAAGATTCCCGAGAATTATAGCGGTTGATTGCGCAAGGTTATGTCAATAAGAGATAAAGAATCCTGATGAATTTCAGAGTTGTGTAATAGTGGCTTCAAGCTAAGTGGTAATTTGAGCAAAGGAATTATTAAAGGTATGCTATGGTTGGCCTTATTGGCTCATGTTCAGACTTGGGGAAGGATTCAGGAATTATGCCTTGTATAGATGTGGGTTTCAAGGGAAGTGATTCTGTCGGGTGCTTCGTCGAGAGGGTATTCACGTGCTAGAAGATTTATGGAGTTGATTATATTCGGGGCCAAGTCAGAGCGGGTGGCTCTCAACAACGGTCCTAGTGGACTTAAAGGGGTAAAGTGTGGTGCCTAATGGAATCGAGCCTATAGATACAGTTAAGAATCGAGCCTTGTAGCAGCTTATGAGGAGGTGCCTAGAAGGTTCTATGATGTTTTGACCTGCAGGGTAGCAATTGGGAGGTATGAAATGGTTCGTGGGATTTGAGACAGCATGGTCTCGTGAGTCAAGGTCACTCGAGATGAGTGCGGATGGAGTATGCTATGTGTTGAGTGGAGTTATTATTATTTCTAAGGCAATCGAGGATAAATTGGAAGAAGATAGATTGATTAGCCATAGTTGAATTAGCATATTGGTGGCAGTGATCGGTTCCTTAAGCGCGATCAAGTTATGCAAGTGATTTGTGGCGGTACATGTGAGGCTTGTCGGTCGCCATAATTGATGTTATTCAGAAGTATTCTACTGTTATGGCCTGCTATGTATAGGCGGACCCCAGAAGGGCTGTGGTAGCTTAGACCACTACTTAGAGGTTTGCATATTCTACGGTTATGAGAATTCACCTGTGCGTTGCTATGGTTCTCCTGAAGTGAGATAAGGGAAGAGTTTTATATAATGAAGTGTTAATCTATTAGTGGTTACAGATTATGATGAAAGATCGTGTTCTATCGTATGTTGGCAGGTGGGGTACAATGAGTGGTATGAAATTCGAAGAGAGGATTAAGGTTGCAGTTCGGTGTTGAAAAGGAGGTCACGGGCTCGGATGAGCAGGAAAAGGATTTAGATGTTTAGAGTGAGCTGGTAATATCTTCAGCGTCCCTGAGATCAGTGTCATGAGTAAGAGGTTTTGTGTATTGACTTGCGGATCCTTGATTCGCTTTGCAACATTTGTATGGCCGAGGGTATTGATGTGTAGGCTTGTTACCTGGTGCAGAAGGTCATGGGAGCATATCCCACGGAAAGATCGTATGAGTGTGACGTGTAGTCACTTAATTGATTGAGGATTTAAACCAAGTATGGAGATTGTGGTACTATCGCTAATTGAGAATTTATGCCTGAAGAGCGCTCGATTCATTTGGTTGTGGAATGTGGAAGGTTGTTCCGGATTGGACGATTGTTCTTGTGGGTTATGGGAAAAAGGGTGTTATTATGGACCCAGGAAAGATTATTGGCCTATATCGGTACGATCAAAATCGGCTTGAGGTCCGTGAATGGATTTTAATATGAATATGGGCTCTATGTCAGGCCGGATGTGTTCATTTCAGCAAAGCACTCCCTATGGAAGAGTATTCGGACGTTGGATGTCGTTTCGTCGTCGGCTATGTCATGTAATATTATATCATGCCGTGTGAGTTGTGAAACGCTTGATAATTCTCTTATGTGTTGAGGTTCCGCGTAGCTATGGTGTTATTGAGCAGGTGGCTCTTTAGATTTAGATCATATATCGTACCCCAGTTGTGCTTGAGTCTTGTAGCGTATGGCGCTATCTGTCTCCCCAGGGATGGTATTATGCACTTAGTGTGCATGTGGCCAATATTCGGTATTTTGTAGTAATGAGCAATTTAGCTCGATGTGTATCTCCTTATGTGAGTTATATGTGCGGATCGGATTGCACGCCGCAATAGTATGATGTTGAGTACAGTTCCCTATATCTGTTTTTATGTGTTTTGTTTCCTATCTTTCTAAGGAAAACTCATATTAGCTGTGTGCCGCATCGCAAGTATGATTCGCGAGCGGGGTATTTGGATTTCCTTTTCAGAGTTCGTTTTCCTTTTATATCACGTTTGAATTAGTAGCTTATTGGCACGTTGGGGCATCATATGGGACTTTTGATCATGTCCGGGGTGGCTTATTGCCTGAGCAGTTCGTACTGGGTGAGACGAGATCATTGGGTTTAGGATCAGCGTGATCTGACTTTATATGAAGTATATTAAGGAGCAAGGACCATTATTTGGTTCTGAATGAGGCGAGGGTCCTTGTCAGGAGTATGTACCCATTGATCGGTTGCATTCAGCAGTCGGTTATGAATTTCTACGCATCTCTTCCGTTGTGGCGGTATTGTAAGAGTTAGAGCAAGACCTATGTAGGTCATGAGGTGCAATGGGAGCATCAGATTCGTGGAATTTCAAAGTGTTTGATTGAAGAATGTTATTGTGGTCCTGTGAGTAAAGTGGTGCAAGTTGAGAACTAAGCTAAGATATGCAGTCGTGTTTTGGTGCTGCGTGTAGTTACTGATACGGTGAGCGTATGTTGGAACATGCCTGGCAGGGAATTCCGGATGATGGAATTGGGCTCTAAGGCTTATTTGCTTAAGTGAAAAAGGATATCTTCAGATTGACCGAGCTAGGGCGCCCAGCTGAGTTGTGGTAGCACGGGTAGGTGCTCAAGGTGTTGAACAGTGATTTCAGACAACCCCAACACAGTTCCTAGCACGTTCGAGGACGAACGTATGTTTAAGTGGGAGAGAATGTAACGACCCGACCGGTCGTTTTGAGCTCTAGCGAGCTGTTCAGCAGTTTGAGGCCATGAACAACTCTATTTCAGGTATTACGACTTGTGCGCGTGGTTGGAATTAAATTTCGGGAAGTTCGGGGTTCATTCGGAAGGAGAATTCTCATTTTGGAAGCTTTAAGTTGAAAGAATCAACTAGGATTGAATTTTTGTGTAAACGACCTCGGAATCGGGATCTGAAGGTTCCAGTAGGTTCGGATGATGATTTCGGACTTGGGCGTATGCTCGGATCGGGTTTTGGATGACCCAGGAGCGTTTTGGCGCCTATGGTGGAAGTTAGCATTTTGGAAGAAATTTCATAAGTTTGGGTTGAAGTGCATTTCAGTATTTTCGATGTCCGTTTGAGATTCTAAGCCTGGGAGTAGCTCCGTATGGTGATTCTGGAGTTGGGGGCGCGATCGGAAGTGAATTCGGATGTCCATGGGTCATTTTGGAGTCATTTGGCTAAAGATAGAAATTTGAAGGTTTTTGAGAAGTTTGACCGGAAGTGGACTTTTTGACATCGGGGTCGGAATCCGATTCCGAAAGTTGGAGTAGGACCATGATGTGAAATATGACTTGTGTGCAAAATTTGGAGTCAATCGGACGTGATTTGATAGGTTTAAACATCGAAAGTAGAAGTTTGAAATTCTAAAGTTCATAAAGCTTGGATTGGAGGTCGATTCGTGGTTTTAGCGTTGTTTGATATGATTTGAGGCCTCGAGCAAGTCCGTAATATATTTTGGGACTGGTTGGTATGATTGGTTGGGGTCCCCTGGGCCTCGGGTGGATTCCGAGTGGTTAACGGATCGAAAATGAAATTTTTGAAAGGCTGAAGTTGCTGGTTGCTGGCATAACCGCACCTGCGAGACTTGGGCCGCAGGTGCGGAGCCGCAGAAGCGGCCAGAGGAGCCGCAGATGCGGTTTTGGACCAGACGTGAAGGGACCGGAGATGCGGTCATGCAGCCGCAGAAGCGGGACCGCACCTGCGGCGGTCGAGTCGCAGAAGCGGAAAGGAGGGGCTGGTGAGAAATCGCAGGAGCGGTAGAAGGGCCGCACCTGCGGAACTGCAGAAGCGATCAAGGGACCGCAGGTGCGGTAGTGCTGGAGGCAGTAAGTTCTTTTACAATCGGGGGTTGGTCATTTTTCCCCCATTTTTCATTGGGTGTGGAAGATTTTGGAGAGCTTCAAGTGGGGTTTTTCATCATCAACGACAAGGTAAGCTAATCCCACTTATCTTGAGTTAAATATATCGATTATGTATGGATTTTAGCATGTAAATTGGTTGAAACTTGGGGTTTGAGGGAAAACCTAGATAATTGATATTCTTGAATTTTGACCATGATTTTGGATATGAAATTGAGAGTAAATTATATATTTGAGTTCGTGAGGTTATGGGTAAACTTTATCTTCGAAAAATTTCGGAATCCGGGCACGTTGGCCTGAGGGTGTTTTTGTCAACTTTTCGATCGGGGTTAGGAATTGTTATAAATTTGATTGTAATGAGTAATTGAGCATATATTAATGAATTTACATAATGATTGGATAGCTTTGAAGTATTTAGCATCGATTGGAGTCTTCGGGAGGGCGTGGAATGCCGGTTATAGATTTTCGGAGCGAGGTGAGTCTCCTTTCTAACCTTGTAAGAGGGAATTGTCCCCATAGATGAGTTAATTGGTTATGTGCTCCTGTTTGTGGGGGCTACGTACGCACGAGGTGACGAGAGTCCGTGCGTAGCTACTATTATGCTTATGTCCGGGTAGTCTAGGACCCAAAAGCATGCTTACTTGTAATAAATGCAACCTTGTTGACAAATTTAAGAATGCTTAAAACATATCGAATGTGTAAATGAATTTCTAAAAGACTAGATATCATTACTTGACTTTTAAAAGAGAAACTTGCCTTCTTCCTGAATATTTGCTCCTTGATGAATTATTGATTTGATTGTTTGAATGTGTTTATCTATTGTGGAACGGGCTGAACGCCTCGGTAGATTAAATAGATGCATCTATGGTTCGCGCCATTCGACCCTCTGGCAGTGCACAGTTTAAATATTATTGGATCGGGCCGTACGACCTCGACATGATTTGCGCATGCTTGTATTGCTTGCCTTGAGATTTATTGACATTGCCATCTGCTCTCCCGACTTGAGGTAATTGTTAACTAATGGATTATGAATTCGGAGACTTTAAATAAAAAGGAACTTTCACCTGTTTAGTGGCTCATTTGAATCTACTGTTGTTCTTAATAAATCCGTGAGTCTTCGCATTAATAATAGTATTACTGGACCTTTAGTAAGTGTCGAAGTTGCCATCTCGTCTCTACTTCTTCGAGATTAGGCGGGATACTTATTGAGTACACGTTTTTGTACTCATACTACACTTATTGCGCTTTTTTGTTGCACAGGTTTATGTGTGACTAGTGGCTTAGTGGCATAGCGACATGGTTGATACAGAGACTTAGGTGAGCTGCACTTATCGAGACGACCTGCAGCTAGCAGAGTCTCCTTCAGAGTATTGTACTGTATTTTCATTTCTGTCCACTTTGTATACCGGACAGTTACTGTATTTTATTTCATTCCCTAGTAAATGCTCATGCACTTGTGACACCGGGTTCTGGGATTTCTATGGGTTTATTCAAAAATTTAAAATTGTTAAATGTTTCATTATTTATTCAGTGAAATTTATTATGTATTGTTTAAACGTATAAAAGAAGTGATTTCAGAAATATTTAAGATGAGAAGTTACTAGTTAATTGTTGTTGGCTTGCCTGACAATGGTGTCCGGCGCCATCACGACCCTTAGTGAATTTTGGGTCGTGACAATGAAACTATAGGGTGCCAGGTCTGAATCACATATGAGTTCCTTAGCTTTAGATCGTAGTTTTAGAACCTTTACTAACTTTATAGCTACTTGCATATCAATGGAAAAAAAGAATTTCAGAATTTTTTTGTGATAATTTGAGTTTCTTCTCCAATAACTCAAAAACTTATAGCAAATGCTTTTAGCTTTCAGAGACTGATCAGTCTTCCAAAACCTCTCTACCATATATCTTGTAAACTTGTAATCTCTTTTATTATTTTCTCTATATCCAACAAGATGTTTTACGGCGTATGTAAATTTTCTAAGTGAATATATTGGTTGTGAACCTGCAAGGTTGTTTGCTATGACTTAAGCTCAATGAATATTTAATATGTACACCTTTACAATTATTGGAAATTGGTTTTTGATGATGGTTGAATTGAGTTTAAAATAAGAAAAGCATTAGTGGAGTTTGTATATGTGACTTTTCATATACACATGGTGCACTTTAAGCTGCATAGCTAATGATATTTAAAGTCTTCAACCGGTACATTTTGGGCTCCCACAAGCTAGTATATTTTAGAGTTCAAACTATTGTATCAGCAACTCATTTTCTACCATATGTGGGTAGATTGGTGCCTTTGGCAATCTCGGATGGAGTTTTTTTTGGCTGCAAGGACAGTTTTCAAGAGAAGCTGGTTCAGGTATGATAAGAGCTAAATTTAAACCCCAGCCTCCTTCTTATCCAATGGTAATTAATTGAATTTTCAAAAGCATCCTCCTTCAGCCAGCTTTTTTCTGTTTGGGAAGATCATATATTCTTGTTTGTTTGAGTATAAGAAAGAAAAAGGCTGAAAATGGAATGGAGTGGATATAGAAGACTCATATAATTGACCCTAACTAGTTTGGAATTGAAGCACAGCTGATGTCGTAATATATGTTCATAATTGCAAATGGATATCATGATAAGAATTTTTATTAGAACTATATAGTGACTAATGGATTTTGTAGAATATTCATCTATAGAAAATGTATTTCTTCTTGTTATATTGTTTTACCATTGTTCTTTTGACAGATCAGGATTTCAAAGTTTGAAGAATCTGTCTAGGAAGAAAGTGCAGAGCAAGTACAAGCAGCAATCGAATATGTTAAAGATCAAGTTGAAGCACAAAAGAGACACATTTTTGGTTTCCTTAGGCGTTATTTAAGATATTTTTATATGTAATGCTACAATATCATACAATTTATATTGGTACATTTTTGGTAATGTGAGGTCTTAGCTCTTATAATTATCTATTAAATTTTATATGAATATCGATAATTTGTATATTTTTCATGGTTGCCGAAGTGTATGTATACGAAAGAAGGATTACTATTTAGTTTTGATGTTCTTTAGGGTAATTACCATATACTGATCAGATGCACTTTTAACGATTGGATTAGTTGTCGTAATTAATGGGTTTTCACGACCGGAATAATAATTAGCGAAGGGAAAATTTGGTCACTAAAAGTAGGTAGAACGACCGGATTTGTTGTTGTCGCTAAATGTTCGAAGCTTTTAACGACCGGCGACGACCGGATATTTTTCGGCCGTTAACTACTTATAGCGACCGGATTAGGACTTTCAACGACTGAATTTTCCCTCGCTAAAAGCCTTGTTTCCTGTAGCATACTGATATCCTTAAATGTAAAGCATGACATAAGAATGAAATAAACATTCAAAAGTATTTCTAAAGATTCTTGCTTCTTCATGAATTTTTGACATGTAAATGGCATATAAGAATAACACAAAAATCTGAAAATTTATGCACATATATCATAATAAATCACCTAAACTTTAACTAGAACAATTCTAAGTTAATAGGTACTCCCTCGCTCCAATTAAGTACATATTAACTCTTTTAAGCAATTCATCAAACACCTTGTACGCGTGCTTTTGTGAGTTAAACCACTTTAGTAAAAGGTTATATCAACTCACCTCAAAACACCTCGAGCCAATACATAGGCCCCAGTCCAATTTATACCCGTCAAACAATTGATTCTACAACAACCGGTGCATTTAATTAATTTCAAAATTTTACACCTAAACATGAAATTTAATGTTGATAAAGAGAAATAATGGAATTAACTATTCAATTCTACCTACTACTACTTTAGGATAATTGACAATACGGAATTTTATATACCTGAGTTCAAGAATTAGTGATTTGTAAAGAACCCTAGAATTTCCTTGTCTGCGTAAATAGTCTTGCTGCCTCTGTTTCTTAGCGCTCTGTTTCTCTTATAAGATTTGCGTGAATGAACAAAAGTTTAAACCAGATTTGTTCGTATAGAGTTCTTAGCAGCCTGACTTGTTTAAGGCTTTTTAAGCCTTTTGTCTCCCTGTAACGACCCGACCGGTCGTTTTGAGTCCTAGCACTCCGTCAGCAGTCGGAGGCCATGAACAGCTTCATTTCAGGCATTATGACTTGTACGCGTGGTCGGAATTGAATTTCGGGAAGTCCAGAGTTGATTTGGAAAGGGAATTCTCATTTCGGAAGCTTAAAGTTGGAAGAATGAACTAGGATGGGATTTTTGAGTAAACGACCTCGGAATCGGGATCTGAAGGTTCCAATAGGTTCGTATGATGATTTTGGACTTGGGCGTATGCCCGGTTCAGGTTTCGGATAACCCAGGAGCGTTTTGGCGCCTAGTGTGGAAGTCAGCATTTTAGAAGAAATTTCATAAGTTTGGCTTGAGGTGCATTTCAGTGTTATCGATGTCCGTTTGGGATTCCGAGACTGTGAATAGCCCCGTATGGTGATTCCGGAGTTGGGGGCACGATCGGAAGTGAATTCGGAGGTCCGTAGGTCATTTTGGAACCCTTTGGCTAAAGATAGAAATTTGAAGGTTTTTGAGAAGTTTGACCGGAGGTGGACTTTTTGATATCGGGGTCGGAATCCAAATTTCGAAAGTTGGAGTAGGTCCGTAATGTCGAATATGACTTGTACGCAAAATTTGAGGTCAATCGAACGTGATTGATAGGTTTAAACATCAGAAATAGAAGTTTGGATTTTTGAAGTTCATTAAGTTTGGATTGGAGGTCGATTCATGATTTTAGCGTTGTTTGATGTGATTTGAGGCCTCGAGCGAGTCCGTAATGTGTTTTGGTATTGGTTGGTATGTTTGGTTGGGGTCCCGGGGGCCCCGGGTGGATTCCGGGTGATTAACGGTTCAAAATTTGGAATTTTGGACAGATGAAGGATCTGGTTGCTGGTATTTTCGCTTCTGCGGTGGGTTAGCCGCAGAAGCGGCCCGCAGAAGGTTGGTCAAGGCTCGAGGACCGCAGATGCGGTCAAGATTCCGCAGAAGCAGGACCGTATCTGCGGAAGGATAGTCGCAGAAGCGGAAGAGGGGCAGCTGGAGAAGACCGCATATGCGGTCAATGATCTGCAGAAACGGGACCGCATCTGCGGAAGGATAGTCGCAGAAGCGGAAGAGGGGCAGCTGGAGAAGACCGCAGATGCGGTCAATGTTCCGCAGAAGCGGGACCGCATCTGCGAATGGCGTGCCGCAGAAGCGAAAATGGGGAGGCTTGAGAGGAACCGCAGAAGCGGTATTTGGACCGCACCTGCGGAACCGCAGAAGCGGTCAAAGGATCACAGGTGCGAAAATAGCTGGGGCAGAATGGTTGTTTAAAATCGGGGTTGAGTTCATTTCTCTCATATTTTTCATGGCTTGGGCGATTTTTGGGAGCTTCAAGAGAGGGATTTCCGTCATATATATCAAGGTAATATATCCCCATCCATTTTAAGTTAAATACATCAATTATGTAAGGATTTGAGCATGAAATTGGTTGAAGTTTGGGGATTTTTGGTAGAAAGACCTAGAAATTATATTCTTGGAATTTAGCCACGATTTTGAGTATGGAATTTAGTAAAAATTATATATTTGAGTTCCTAAGGTCATGGGTAATCTTTATCTTCGAAAAATTTCGGATTCCGGGCACGTGGGCCCGAGGGCGTTTTGGTCAACCTTTCGATCGGAGTTAGGAGTTGCTATAAATTAGATTGTAATGAATATTTGAGCATATATTAATGGATTTGCGTAACCGTTGGCTAGTTTTGGAGCGTGGTGCATCAGTTAGAGTCTTCGGAAGGGCGTGGAATGCCGGTTATGGATCTTCGGAGCGAGGTGAGTCTCCTTTCTAACCTTGTAAGAGGGAATTGTCCCTATAGGTGAAATAATTGATTATGTGCTCCTATTTGCGGGGGGCTACGTACGCACGAGGTGACGAGAGTCCGTGCGTAGCTACTATTATGCCATTGTCCGGGTAGTTAGGGCCCAAAAACATGTTATACTTGGATTATTTATGAACCTATTGATAACTTGAATCGCTTAAATCACCTTGGATTAGTAAATGAATTTAAAAGGAGATTAAACATCATTTTTCCTGAATTGTTAAAATGAGAAATTGTTTTATTTGGATAAATATTCCCGATAAGTTCTTAGTTGACTGATTGAGCATGTATCTCTATGTGTACCTGCGTCGCATGCATGATTCGCGAGCAGGGTATGTGTTTATTTATGGAGCGGGCGGAACGCCTCGGCAGATTAAATAGATGCATCTATAGGCGCGTCGTCGACCCTCGGCAAGTGCACATTTTATTTCTGTTGGATCGGGCCGTCGCCCCGGTGTGATTTGCGCATGTTATATTGTTGCTTGAGAATTTTAAATGTGAAATGTGCCCTTCGTGGCTTGATATAAATTGATAAGATAATAAAGAGTAAACCTTGAAAATCCTTGATTATTTGTTGAAGGTGCTTACATGTTTTCTGGCTTCGTGAATTAGGACTGCTATATAAATCCATGATTTTCTCACATTTTTAATATATTGTTAGATAACCTCTAGTAATTTTCGAAGTTGACCATCTCGTCTCTACTTCTTCGAGATTAGACGGGATACTCATTGAGTACACGTTGTTTACGTACTCATACTACAATTCCGTGCATTTTTGTTGCACAGGTATATTTATCTCTAGCGGCCCACTGGGCATAGCAGCACGGATGATTCGGGGACTAGGTGAGTTGCATTATTCGAGGCGGCCCACAGCTAGTAAAGTCCCTTCCAGCAAATTGTATTTTCTTTCTGTCCACTGTATTCCGGACGGGTGTTGTACTGTATTTTATTTCCTTATCAGTAAATGCTCATGCACTTGTGACACCGGGTTCTGGGATGATTTTAAAATAATTTGTATTAATAGCTAGTATTTAATTCGAATTGAAGCAGTTATCTTTTACTTATGGAATTCAAAGAAAAATCTTGGTTTTAAAAATTGTTAAAATTGGAGTTCAATTAAGTATTTGGTTGGCTTGCCTGACAGCAGTGTCCGGCGCCATCACGACCCTTAGTGGATTTTGGGTCGTGACACTCCCTTTAGTCCAAGGCTTAAGCCTTTCCTTGCCCTCACGTACAAACTACTCTATGGGCCTTAGGCCCAATTTTATGTGTCCTTTTTTTTTTGATTTGAGGAGTGTTACAATCTTTCCTTCTTAAAAATATTCGTCCTAGAATGTTGCTAGCACTACTCACTTGAACTTATTAAGTTTTCTTAGCACTGCTCACTTTCCCAAGGGACTCAAAATTTTGGCTAACTCCCTAAATTTTCAAAACTTTCGGCAGAGTCTCCCTTGTAAATTGGACTATCCAAAAAAAAAATCCCTGTCACCAATACCACAACTACGCCAACAACAACCAAATATACGATAACAGGCCATTCATAGGCACTATACACAGCTCATATACTAATTACTCACACTCCGGCAAGGAGGTACCACAATAACCAACAAGAATCTAAAGCACAACACTTTAGCAAAAGTAAATCACTTTAATGAGTTAAATGTACTCTGGCATGACACTAAATTATTAAATAATTAAATATACTCTGACAAAAACTAAATTACTTCAACAACTAAGTATAATCTAGCAAGGACATAAAAATATGCTAACTTGTATTTAATAAATAAAATGTAGATGCCAAACCAAACCGAGGTTCACATACCTTTTTCCTCAAATAAATATGGATATCTCTTCCTCATATCTTCCTCGACCTCCCACGTAGCCTCTTTTGAATCGTGATTACTCCACAAAACTTTTACCGATGCTATATCTTTTGTTCTCAACTTTCTTACTTGCCTATCGAGAATTTCTATATGTACCTCTTCATAAGTCAAGCCTTCTTTAATTACTATGGTATCGACAGGTATTATATGCGACTCATCATGAA